CAGGATTGCCACCTATTGGCAATCTGTACCCCCTTAAGATTGCCACCTGTTGGCAATCTGTACCCCCGAAGATTGCCACCTGCTGACAATCTAGATCCCCTGTTATTGCCACCTGTTGGCAATCTGTACCCCCTTAAGATTGCCACCTGTTGGCAATCTGTACCCCCTAAGATTGCCACCTGCTGACAATCTAGATCCCCTGTGATTGCCACCTGTTGGCAATCTGTACCCCGCTACGATTGCCGCCTTCCGACAATCTAGACCCCCTAAGATTGCCACCTGTCGGCAATCCATTAGGCCTGGCAAGTGGCAGCTAAGCACCAAAAACGCGGGTGTGATTGCCACCTTTTGGCAATCTAGCCCCCCCCCCCCCACCAGGATTGCCACCTTCTGACAATCTACACCCCTTAGGATTGCCACCTGCCGGCAATTTATGAGGCCTGGCAAGTGGCAGCCAAGCACCGAAAACGCCGAACCCGAACCGTACACGCAGTGCGTTTCTGGACCCTCCGCTCGCACCCCAAGGGGGGCATGCCAGGTGTCTTTTGGAAGCTAGTAATGGCGTTGAACTACAGCGACTGCTGTACGCGCCAGTTCACTAGCGAAGCGCCCTCCAAATACCTAAAAAGAGCCGAGGTGCCTTCCTTGAGCATTCCAAAAGTAGGCCGCGGGCATACTTTTGGGATGTGTGCCACGGACGCGCTTTGCGAGAGGATCGGTTTGTTTTCCTCAGTGCCAAGGGCCAAGGGGGCTTCCCATTGAGCCTGTCAACGGGAACGCGTGTACTCGCTCGCGGGTGCGCGTTACTACCGGGGATCCGATCTATCTCCAATCGGTGAACACATATGGGCGAAGGATGTTTCAATCCGACCAGAAACACCGGGGAAGCAGGGAGCGTGTGCTGCGGGACATTCTCTTATAAGGCGCCTAAAATAAGGCCATCCCAGTACTAAGTACGCTGGGGGGTGCCTTCGAAGACCTTCACACTCTCATACTTCCCACGCATGCATTCACTGAACATGTCCAAGCCAAGGACTGATTTTTGTTGCAAGCGACTCGGCTGCAACTAAACATGTCCGTGCTCGTGTTCGTTAGTCTTGTGTTTGCATTCCTTCTTTGCCGATGCCAAGGTACAACCAACGAGGCCGGCAACGGAAGACGGCCACCAAGCTGCAGCTACACGTTGTCGTGCTCAACATCCTTAAAACAAGAAGTCAAGAACAAGTGCAGAAAAAAAGCCCCATTTTGTTAGTCCTAGTTGTCGTGCTCAACATCCTTAAAACAAGAAGCCAAGAACCAGAGCAGAAAAAAAAACACCCCATTTTGTTAACCCTGGTTGTCGTGCTCAACATCCTTAAAACAAGAAGTCAAGAACCAGTGCAGAAAAAAAGCCCCATGTTGTTAGTCCTAGTTGTCGTGCTCAACATCCTTAAAACAAGAAGCCAAGAACCAGAGCAGAAAAAAACACACCCCATTTTGTTAACCCTGGTTGTCGTGCTCAACATCCTTAAACCAAGAAGCCAAGAACCAGTGCAGAAAAAACGCCCCATTTTGTTAGTCCTAGTTGTCGTGCCACCTGCTGACAATCTGGTCCCCTCGGGATTGCCACCTACCGACAATCCAAGGAAGCATAGGGCCAAAGTGAAGTGTGACAGCCATCCGCCCCCTTTCCACCAAGCTCCACCCAGATTGGCACCAGCTGACAATCTGAAGCCCTGAAGATTGCCACCTGCTGACAATCCAAAGGGGCAACCGGCCAGCAAGGGAGTGTGACAGCCATCCGCCCCCTTTCCACCAACCCCCCACCCCGATTGCCACCTATTGGCAATCTGTACCCCCTTAAGATTGCCACCTGTTGGCAATCTGTACCCCCCCTAAGATTGCCACCTGCTGACAATCTAGATCCCCTGTGATTGCCACTTGTTGGCAATCTGTACCCCCTTAAGATTGCCACCTGTTGGCAATCTGTACCCCCCTAAGATTGCCACCTGCTGACAATCTAGATCCCCTGTGATTGCCACCTGTTGGCAATCTGTACCCCCCTACGATTGCCCCCTTCTGACAATCTAGACCCCCTAAGATTGCCACCCCTTTGGGGCCTGGAGATTGTCACTCGGGGCCTGGCGATTGTCACTTTGGGGCCTGGAGATTGTCACCTGGGGCCTGGCGATTTTTCACTTTGGGGCCTGGAGATTGTCACTCGGGGCCTGGCGATTGTCACTTTGGGGCCTGGAGATTGTCACCTGGGGCCTGGCGATTGTCACTTTGGGGCCTGGAGATTGTCACTTTGGGGCCTGGAGATTGTCACTTTGGCGTTGTGGGTGGCCTTGTTGCAAGTTTTTGCAGGTTTTGAGAGGTTTTTAAAAGCTCAGAGTGGTTTTAAAACGTTCTAAGTGGCTTCCGAAGTTATTTCAAAGGGCTTTAAGCAGTCTTGAAGCCGGGCAAAATTGACACCCACCGTCAATCGACGACCGCCCGGGGACCAGGATTTCCCCGACCCGCGCGCGTACACACAATGCGCTTTTGGACCCTCCGCTCGCACCCCAAGGGGGGCATGCCAGGTGTCTTTTGGAAGCTAGTAATGGCGTTGAACTACAGCGACTGCTGTACGCGCCAGTTCACTAGCGAAGCGGCCTCCAAATACCTAAAAAGAGCCGAGGTGCCTTCCTTGAGCATTCCAAAAGTAGGCCGCGGGCATACTTTGGGGATGTGTGCCACGGACGCGCTTTGCGCGAGGATCGGTTTGTTTTCCTCAGTGCCAAGGGCCAAGGGGGCTTCCCATTGAGCCTGTCAACGGGAACGCGTGTACTCGCTCGCGGGTGCGCGTTACTACCGGGGATCCGATCTATCTCCACTCGGTGAACACATATGGGCGAAGGATGTTTCAATCCGACCAGAAACATCGGGGAAGCAGGGAGCGTGTGCTGCGGGACATTCTCTTATAAGGCGCCTAAAATAAGGCCATCCCAGTACTAAGTACGCTGGGGGGTGCCTGCGAAGACCTTCACACTCTCATACTTCCCACGCATGCATTCACTGAACATGTCCAAGCCAAGGACTGATTTTTGGTGCAAGCGACTCGGCTGCAATTAAACACGTGCATGTCCACATCTGTCCATGCTAGGCTTCCAATGTGCTAGCAATCATCTGATCTGGACGCCAAGGTACGGCCAACAAGGCCGAAGCGCGCAGCAGCCGCCAGGCTGCAATCACATGCGTGCACGCTCCCACTATCAAAACACTGTCTCGCGCAACACCCCTGCTATTCTTCCTGAACTCGTCAGCTTCCAGTGTCAGGTTTCTCTGCCGCAACGCAAACCCTCGCCGTAGAGCAAATTTGGACTCAAGCTTTGGCACCATGAGCAGCACAGACAGCAAGAGCTCTGCCAGCAGCAGGTTAATTAGGTCACCGTAACCCATGACGCAAGCACAAACACACCAAGGCTAGCCGCCACACTAGCACTCTCCCACTGCATACTCCACACCCCGCACAGTTTCGTGCCGGGATGGCGTGCATCTAGAATCTAGACGCAAACCTCGAGTCCGCACAAGCCTTTCAGTGAGTTTTGAAGGGTTAGTCTGGCAGAATTGCTTCGCTTATTGGGGCGTTAGGAAGGAAAACCTCTTGCAGAATTGTTTCGCTTATTGGGGCGTTAGGAGGGAAAACCTCTTGCAGAATTGTTTCGCTTATTGGGGCGCTAGTAAAGAAAATCTCTGGCAGAATTGTTTCGCTTATTGGGGCGTTAGGAACAAAATTCTCTGGCAGAATTGTTTCGCTTATTGGGGCTTCAGGAATGAAAACCTCTTGCAGAATTGTTTCGCTTATTGGGGCGTTAGACGAAAAAACCTCTTGCAGAATTGTTTCGCTTATTGGGGCGTTAGAAGGAAAACCTCTTGGGCCATCCCAGGCTAAGTATGCTGGGGTGTGCCTTCAAAGACCTTCACACTTCATCATACCATCATATTTTCACACACACGCTTTCATTCAGCACGTCCCAGCCAAGGTATGCCACCTTGGAATGCAACTTGGCTGCAATCAGACACGTACATGTCCACGTCAGCTTGGCATCCCGCCCTTTTTGTGCCGCTGCCGAGGCACTCCCAGAGGGACGGCAATGAGAAACGGCCACTAAGCTGCAATTGCACGCATGCAAGCTCGCAGTTTCCCTTCCATGTCGTACGTCAGGTCCGCTCCAAACCAACCTGCCAGCCAAGACCTAAGGAAGATACATCCGCGATGAGAGCCCCTGCAGATGCAAGATGAGCCTCCTATATCACTGGTAAGGGGTGCCTTCAAAGACCTTCACGCTTCATCATACCATCATACTTCCCGCACATGCATTGATTCATCACGTCACAGCCAAGGTATACCACCTTGGAATGCAATTTGGCTGCAATCAGACTTCATGTACATGTCCGCAGCCAAGGTACGGCTTTGGTCGCATCTTGACAACAACTAGACAAGGCCATATTTGCTTTATGTTTACGTTGATTCCCTTCCAATGCCAAAGTACAACTACGCGAGGACCTCCGGAGTCCAGTTGAAAAGCCCGCCCACCACCTGACAATCTGTATCCTCGTCCATTTTACGAAGGAAATCGGCTTGGAGAGCTTGCGAATCACTTGACAATCCTCACCACCGTCCAGTTTATGAAGCAGGTGGTGAGAGCCGCAGCCAAAATCAGTTTCACAGAATGGCTACGGCTACATCGGAGCACCGCGCCTTGCAGCCACAGCAGCAGAAGCGAAAAAGGAGAGTCGGCTGCAAGCAGCAAGCCAACGACGCTGACAGCGTGCCTGCAGCGAGAGCACACCAACCTTAACCTGGCACCGCAGCCCAATTCGTGATCGAGCCTCAAAAGCAGAGATCCGCTTCCTGAAGAACCATCTAGGCCGAAGCTGCTTCCGACAGTAAGAGAGAAAGAGCAGGCACGGTTCGCTCCCCCGCCCGTGCAGGTGAAGCCATCATGCAGCCCGAACGCAGCCGACGGTGGGCCGACATGACAGACGACGACGATCAGGCGGGATCGCATGCGACACGCGCAGACGGCCCGACCCCGCCCGAAACATCAACGGCCTCAGCGCACCGAACCACGAGGCGACCGGCTGGGAGTTCGAAGCGTTCAAGAAGGACTACCTGGCGAGGAGATGCAGCCTGACACTTCTGACGCCCGTGCATGCCCCAGAGCCTCCGAAGAGAGAACCCGTGTATACACGCATGTATGTCGCGCAACTGCGCACCGAACCCACCGGCCGAGGGCGGAACAATCAAGATCGACGAGGCGCGCTGCCACCTCGTGCCGTCGCCCTCAGAAATCACAGGAGAGCACACGGGCATGCACGCACGAGGCCTGGAAAACCTCCCCGACAACCGCACCTCGACGGGACACGACCCCGCACTCCGGCGCGAAGCCAAGAACACCCCGACGGAAGAAGGCATCACGGCCGGAATGCAAGTAAGGACTTGTGCCACGAGAAAAGCCATAGAAAAAAGAAAGCAAGCCGTACGCGGCATCGTGACCTGCAGGCCCACAAAAAGCCACTGCCGCGCCAGCCACGATGGACGGCCGACGACGAGAGAGCCCTGGATCGTGCTTTCCAGCGAGCAGAGGCACCGGAGAGAAGCTACACCCCAAAGGCGCACAACACCTCCCCCGGCAAGCGTCTAGTCCCACTGTGTGCACAGGCCGACAGAGCCGCCGAGGCAATACCGCCAAGAAACGAAGCCGTGGAAGCGGCAAAGCTCGCAAGGAATGCCGCTGAACCATCTCACGAAGAACCGGCCGCGCGACGAGGGGGGGCCGAGACGGACTCCGACCACGACACGGAGCCCGGACCCAGCGTCGAGGCCGGCGTTTTCCCTCGAGCATCCACTGTCAAGAGCGCTCTTTAGGCAAGCAGACAATGCACCCGAGAGGAGCACTTTCGGGGCAAGCTGGCCATCAAGAAGATGTCAGGCGACGGCAACTGCCTCTTCCACGCGCTCGGAGAGAACACCGGCGAGAGCGGGGAATGCCTCCGAGCCCTAATCATCCAGTACCTCAGAGAGAACGCAGAAGCCGAAGAAGACGAAGAGCAAGTGCAGGCCTGGCTACAGGAAAGCCAATACCTCCAAAGCGATCCGGGTCACTGGGGCGGCGACACGGCCATCATCGCTTTCACCCGCATGAGGCAGCAGCGAGTCCTTTTGCACTGGCGGACGCCAAACGGCGACATCCTCACGAGCGAGCGCACGCACTCGGACGTGGACGACGCAGCCCAACGCGGGCCGCACGCAGCACCGAACGCCACGGAAGTGATCCATCTCTGGTACAACGGCAGGGACCACTACGACCTGCTGGTGCCCATAGACCGAGCACCGCCACCAGCACCACCACTGCCACCACCACCACCACCACCACCCCACCCGATTCCGCGCCCAGCCAAGCGCAGAAGAACCGCCGCCGGCGGAGAGGAGGCCCATCAACAGGCACAGGCGCGCAAGACGCCGTCGAAGCCGGCGACACGACCGCCCGAGCCAGAGGCGCAGGACGAGCCCAACCTCCTGGAAGAGCTCACCAGCATGCCCATGGCGCCGGACAGCAGCCACCCCCGGCGGAAACTGGAAGAGGCTCTCCGGCACCTCGCACACACCCAGCTGCGAGCCCAGCCGCTGATACCGCCCGGAGCCAAGCCCGAAGACCTCGACCGTGGGGAACCCTGGCCAGGACAGTTCTGAGCCTTCCAGAGCTGCAACTGGTCATTGCTCACGGGCACCGAGCAAGAGCTTCGAGAGCACGTCCAGCAAGAGCACGCAACAGCACTGCAGAGCGTCGCACAGCACCTACCCAAGCCAATCCCGGCCGAGGCACTGGCCAGCGTCTACAACGAAGCCATAGCCCTGCGGTGCAGAGAGGCCGCACCCGTGGCAGGAAGCTCGCGGGACAGAAGCGCGCTGCGGAGCTTCGCCGAAGCCACCAGCAAAGACAGGGTGGAAGCGATCATTTGCTTCTGCTGCGCATGCATCCACACACGCGTGGCCGACGCCGAGGCCGCGGGCCCCATCCGCTGGCGCAGGCTCATACAGGGTCCCCCCAGCAACGACAGGACCCACGCCGAGACAACCGAACGTCTGCACGACATCCTGAGCATCGACAAGTACCTGGGGCTCTACGACGACCTGGCCGGGGACGTCAAGCTCACCGACGTGGCCGCGCTGAACGAGTGGACCGTGACCATCCCCGGGCTCGGCGACATACTCTGCTGCCCAGAAGACCACCGCTGCCACGCCAATCCCCAGCACCCAAGCCAGCACACGCTCTGCGAGCACTGCGAGGTGCCCCTCTGCCGCGACTGCGCGCAACACTGGGACAACGGCCAGCTGCCGCCCCTGAGCTTGTGCAATGACATGTGGACAGGCTACTCCCCGGCGCGCCTGCACGCAGAGAAGGTCACAGTGATAGAAATGATCTGCGCAAGCCCCTGCGTGACGACCCTGGTGTGCATGTCCATGGAAGCGCGGCACCGCAGCGAAGGGACCACCTTAGACGAAAAAGCCCAGAACGCCCGTCACCGCCTGGGCGCGCGCGGCAACGCCCTCACCTTTCCCCTCCCATGGGAAGACCTCCTGAGCAACCTAGAGGCACACCACGCAGAAGTTGCCAGGGAGCAGGACCAAGCGGGAGCGGCAGCACCCCCCAGCCTGCCGCGCACAGGCAAGGCGCTCGCCGAGGTCGCGAGGGTGCTCCTCAAGACGAACAAAACGGGCAAGACGAGCGAGACCGAGATCACGACGCTGCTCCACCAGGCCACCGTGCGGAGAGACGTAGTCGTGAACCTCATCCACGACATGCAGCGCCTCGGGCATCCCGCGTTCCAGCACCTGCGCATGGCGGATGTGCGGGAGGCAGCATCGCAGCTGCCAGAGGGCGGCGTGCCGCCGGAAGTACTCAAGATCATTTCCGGCATGAGCGAGGACGACGAGACCGCCCACAAGCTGCAGCCGCAGAAGGCCGCCGCCCCGACGGACGCGCCGGAGCAGGACATGCAGCGGGCCGGCGCCATCTTAGCCGACCAGCGAGCCCGGGCCGTCGTGCCGGAAGGCTGCAGCACGGACCGCGAGGACCAGAACGCCGTGGCCACGGCCGCACTCAACGACCTCCAAACCCAGCTCCGCAGCAACGAAGAGAACGAGAAGGTCCTCGAGACCATGGAGGTGCGCACCGGCAACATCTTGGTGGACCAGTTCCAGCCGCTCTACTTCGCCACGGCCCTCAGCTTCTGCTTCGCCCACGGCACCGCCTGTCCGGACGTCCAGAACAGCAACAGCACAGCCGGCAACCGGGCGTCAGCGCAAGGACGCCGCCGAGACAAGAACCCGGAGGCCACCCAAGTGCAGATCTTCGAATGGGCAACAGCCATGCAGCGCCGGGCAGAAACCCAATTCAGGCGAGACTGGAGCTTCGGCTTCACCCTCTGGAACTACCTCTTCAGGACCATGGTGAACACCCAGTGGAACGCCTTCATCTACAGCGTCGCCGACGAGAACCACGAGAGCAGGGCCCTGACCACCAAGGAGATCCTGGAGGGGCAAAAGCAGATCCAGCAAAAGCGCCTCAGAGGCCAGTACCTCGACATCAACAACCAGCTGAAGCCCATCAACGGAGACCTCACCAAACTACGCTTCGTCCCAGGGCTCTCAGAAGCAGCCCTGAAGGCTCGAAGCTCGTGCAAAGAAAATCCTATAAAGCACGGACCCCCCCGCAGTGCAAGCCTCCCATCCTTCGCCGCCTGAAAACCCGTAGAGAGCAAGCAAGTGCCGTGACGCGCGCCGTAGAAGGCCACACTCGGAGCAGGCAAGCTACCAAGAGCCAGGTTACAACGAGTGCCCAAAGCAAGCCCGACAGCGGTGCCAGGTCCTGGACAACACGGAGGCGCGCAGTCGAAACATCCCGGGCACGCACGAGGTGCGCAAGACCATGCGCCTCCAACCCCACGCCAATCGGATATGCCACGGCACCCCGATCTTCGTGACCTTCTCCCCCTCAGAGCGCGACAGCACGGTGATGCTGCGCCTGGCCCGCGCCCGGCAGTCCGACCCCAGCCTCGGCCCAGAGGACACCACCACCCGAGGAGCCCAGGGGCGCAGCAAGCCGGAGCTGGACGTGGAGTTCTACAGCCTCAACCCAGAAGCCCTCGCCGCCGAGCTGCCGCCCTACGACGCTCGCCGGGCCATGCTCACCACGGATCCCGTGGCCTGCGCCGACGGCTTCCGCACCCTCGTGCAGCTCGCGCTGCGCCACCTCTTCGGCGTACGCTACTGCCCCCAGTGCCCGAATTGCAGCAAGTCCAAAACACCCTGCGCGGACGCCTTCGGCAGCAACGCCATGGCCTGCGGCGGGATCTTCGGCCGCATCGACGCCGCGTTCGGGTCCATCGAAAGCCAGAAGTCCGGGGTGCTGCACGTCCACTTCCAGGCACGCCGGCACAGTCATGAGAGACAACCAAAGAAAGGCCATGCGACAACGAAGCCACCGCCGCCCCCTGTGCAGCTCTTCCTCCAGTGCTTCCACCAGTTCAAGTCCCTCGCGGAGCTGCAGGCCCTGGGTCCCGCACGCAAGCAAGAACTCTTCCAGAAGTACTGCACCTACACGGCCCACGTCAGCCGCACCATCTACCGGGACCCGCAAACCTGGGAGAAGAAGCGCCCGGAAACGGAGGAGCAGTAGCCCGCCTACCGCGACTCCTACCTGGCCCTGAGCCGCCCGCACTACCAGAGCACAGACGCGTCCACGGACGCCACGACCTGGCGACGGCTCTATCTCGACGAGGACGTGGAGGCCCTGCAGCAGCTGAAGCAACATCACGTGCACCTCCCCAAGACGACTAACGGTCCGCGGCTGCCGCTCGACCACTGCCGCGACAAGAAAGACCCCACGAAGTGCAAGGCAGGCTTCCCTCGCGAGAAGCAGCTGGTGGACAGCACGACACTCGTGTGCGAGGGACTCGCAGAAAAGATGGGCATGCCGGTCAAGGGCAAGCGCAGCGCCATCGGCCGTCTCTGGGGGCCTTGCAACGACCCGAACCTCAACGGCAACCACCCCGCGCTGCTGGCCGCCCTGCGCTGCAACGGCGACGTCCAGCTGCCCTACCGCTTCCCGATCACCGAGGACCTGCACGACGCCGCCGGCCGCTGCACGCGAGACTGCACGACGAAGAGCAGCCTGCGGGAGATGACCTACCAGGCCCAGCTGAACCAAGCGGCGCAGGCGGGCTATGCATGCGACTACCAGAACAAGCGGAACCCCATCGCGGTCAACGAGGTCCAAGAGTGGAACAAGAGCCACAAGGACCTGGAGACCGAACTGCGGAACAACTCCTCCGCCGGCTACGTGGGAGCCAGAGCCTCGAAGCGCCTCATGACGGACGCCTTCGCCGGGGGCGTGGTCCGAGGCTCCGTGGAGTGCACCAACCTCATCGACAACGCCGGCCACAACGACCCCACCGCCGCGGAAACCATCAAGACCGCAGCCCTCGCGGGCATGTCCCTCCAGGTGGGCCTCGAGCTCATGCAAGCCGCCACCGAAGGCCGGCCGCTGCCGACAGAGCGCGCAAAGATCCAGAGCGACCTCAGTGGGTGGGTCGACAGACCCGGCAACAAAAGCAAAAGGAAGCTCGTCGCCGAACCACAGCTGTGGACCGTCTACGGCAACCGCGGCACGGACCCCAGAGTGCAACCCCTCTCGGCCTTCGAGTTCGCTCGGTTCTACCACATCCAGCCAGCCAGATATCCATGGTCCCTAAAGCAGCAGGAGGAGGCCGCCGCCGCTGATCGCGAAGAAGCCGCCGACAACGACATCGCCTACCACGCCCTGCTGACGGACAAAGGCAAGGAGAAGCTCGGCAAGAAACTCGGACGTCGACTTCTGCAGGGCGGCACGGACTACCTGATTCGAGAACAAGGCGGGGAAAACTGGATGCCGCTGGGCAACGGCAACCGCGTGCGGAAGCATCGCCACGACTGGGTCATCGTCCCACGCAAGCGGCCGCACGTGCCGGTCCTCTACGGTGCGCTCGGCAGCCGCAGCGAGGAGGAGCACATCAGGAAGATCCTGCTGCTCTTCTGTCCCTGGACCAGCAACCCACACGAGGCCACCGAAGCCGTCCCGTACGTCGGCCACCTCCGCACGACGGACATGAGCAGCTGGCGCCAGGCGCTGCAATGCGCGTGGAAGCAAGCCGGGGGCTTCCCCACCGAGGAGCTGAAGCGCTACGTCCTGAACTACGCCTTCGTGTTCAGCCTGCCCCGAGACCTACAGCCCGACATGGAACTGGCAGCCAACAGCGACAACGAAGATCCCCAGGACCAAA